AGGGCGACGAAGAAGGAGGAGGAGGGGGAGGATGAGGATGAGGAGGAGGAGGAGGAGGGTGGGGGAGGAGGAAGAGGAGGAGGAGGAGGAGGAGGAGGAGAAGGGAGGAGGAGGAGGAGGAGGAGGAGGAGGAGGAGGAGGGGGGGGAGGAGGAGGAGGAGGGGGAGGCGGAGGAGGAGGAGGAGGAGGAGGGGGAGGAGGAGGAGGGAGGAGGAGGAGGAGGAGGAGAAGGAGGAGGAGGAGGGGGAGGAGGAGGAGGAGGAGGAGAAGGGGGAGGAGGAGGAGTGGGATGAGTAGCAGGGGTGGAATAGGATGGACAAGCATAAGAAACCTGAGGAGTAGGCGGGGAATGAGGGGCGAGGAGGAGGAGGCGAGTCAGGAGGAGGATGATAACAGGCACGAGAAGAATAATGGAGGACGAGGGGACAAGAGGAAATATAATAAAGAACAAAGAGAAGGAGGGGGAGGAGGAAGAGGAGGAGTAATGACTGAGGGGAATGAACACGATTTCTCCCACGTGCTCTGATGCCTCACGCGGTCCACTCCGCCCTCCCCCTCCGCCTCCAAGGGGCGTGCGTGTGTGCGCGTGCGTGCGTGTGTGAGTGCGTGTGCGTGTGCGTGTGGGGGGGGGGGGGAGTCGAATGCGCGAGGGCCCCTGCAGGCTCCGTTTACTGCTAGCTCTCCTGGAATCCGCGATGCGAGTTTGTATGTGTTGGCACGAACTTCGACGCCATTAGCAAGCCCACCATGTGTTAAGAAACGTGGGCGGGCGGCCCCACTGACTGAGACCTTCGGTGGAGCTCCCTATGCATGGGGCCACGATCCATTCTAATGCTGGGCGTGGTGGGCGCATGCGGGTGGCCCCACTGACTGGGACCTTCGGTGGGGCTATGTATGGGGCCACGAAAAACGCTGTGCTGGGTGTGGCGGGCGCATGCCGGGATGAGTGATGATGATGATGCCGATGATGATGATGATGATGTCGATGATGATGATGGTGATGATGATGATGGAGGAGGAGGGGGGGGCAGGGAGAGGGCAGCGGGAGTCATGTGGGCGCGGAGCGCTGTCTCTTCAAAACGGGGTCTCAACACCACAAGAAGATGGCTGGGAAACATCACCCCCTGGGGCGCGAAGAAGAAGAAGATAACCATGTTTCGCGCGTCGCCCTCTGGGCCACAGCGGGCATCTTCCCACGAGCAAGCGGCGCGGGTGGGGCGCGAGCGAGGGCGCGGAGGTAACAGCGCGTCTCGCATCGCCGGGCGCGACGCGCGAAGTTCAGTGACCTCCTAGACCCATGTTCTACATGCTGCGTTTCGTAGCCATTTTGGCTCAAGCAAGTGATTGAGGCACCGCAGCCACGACGAGCACGCAATCATGATGGCGAGGTCTCGGCCGCAGCCAGCGAACGCTACGCCGTGGGCTCCGAGGGCGGCGAGCACTACTACTGCGCCGATGGCTACGAGGACAACTGCGCTGCTGGCTACGACGAGGGCTACGCTGGCGGCTACGAGGGCGGACACTACTACGCCGAGGGCGAGCGCTGCGACGACGGCTGCGAGGGCTGCAACGCCAGGGGCTACGAGGGCGACCGCTACGCCGAAGGCCGCTGCTACAAGGAGGGCGAGCACTACGCCGATGGCTACGAGAGCTGCCCATACTACGCCAAGGAGGGCAACGTGGACATGGAGACCGTCACAGTCGCCAAGGACTGCTACGCCGAGTGCGAGCACTGCGCCGATGACGACTACGAGGGCGAACGAGGGCGAACACTACGATGACGGCTACGAGGGCGAACACTACGACGATGGCTACGATGACAGCTACGACAACTTCTTCTGCTCCTGCGAGGGCTACGACTACTACGAGGACCCCTGCGACGTGGAGAACGACTACGACGACGACTCCGACATGGAGACCCAGCCGTATGCGCAGGAGGAGATTTTCGACCGCATGCGCTTGTCGGCCGACGATGAGATGATTAGCAGCATCATGCGCTGTCGCGCGATCCCGCCCGCCACCCACCAATCCCGCCGCCGCGCTCGGGACATCGCCAGGGCGCCATCGGGACACCATCGGGACATCATCGGGGCACCATAGATCGCCACGCAATCGAGGCGCCACGTGGCGCCATCGATCGGGGCGGGTGGACTAACTATTGCGTCGCAAGCAAAGCCAAACACGCTTGCTGCTGCGCGCAAGCGCGGTGGCGGAACCCGCCCCCGAGCGACGAGGACTACGACAGCCGCGACGATGATGACTACTACTGCGACGACTTCGTGGACGTCTGGAGATTAGATCCGCGAACAGCAGAGGATGTGGTCGCTCGCCGCCGGGACTTGGCGGATCGCTTGGCGGCGCTCCCCGAATGGGCGGTCCCTGACGGCGACTGCTACGACGAGCTCCTGGACTACCTCTTCTGGAGATTAGATCCGCGAACAGCAGAGGAGGTGGCCGCTCGCCGCCGGGACTTGGCGGATCGCTTGGACAAGCTCCCAAGATGGGCGCCGCCAGTGAAGAAGGTCGAGCACTACGCGTACTATGACGACTGGACGGCGAAGAAGCGTGATCACCAGTGGCCCTCCGTGGACCCGACGAAGAGGAGGAAGATGCATCATTGTTGGAAGGGTGCGTAGTCGGCTGAGTTCGCGCCTGCCTGATGATCCGAGCCAGCCTCCTCCTGTTGAGGCATGGACAGGCCTCCAGTTCTGCTGCCTGCAAGCCTCGGGGCCTGCCTGCCGGTGCGTCCGCGGTTTAATGATTCGGGCCTGCGGGCCAAGACAACCATCGTAGACGCGGTGCGTCCGCGGTTGAATTCATCAGGTCTACGGGCCAAGCCTGCCTGAGCCTCGAGGGGGAGGGAAAGGGTGAGCAGGGATGATGATGATGATGATGATGATGATGATGAGGAATGAGGAATGAGGAATGAGGATGAATAAGGGGGTTGATTGGAATCGTGCGCCGGCTGTCTGTCGCCCTGCACTTGCATTTTTTCTGTGCTAATTAGCTGACATACTGACATGCCTTGCAAGCCTCGCTCAAACGAACCTTCCTCCTCCGCCCCTCTCCTCCTCTGGTCAGGATTCAGACAATGTCTTTCAGAATGAGAGCTAGGTACATATCCTAGGCTCTGGTCGTAGGTAAAGTAGGGTAGGAGTAGGGCAGGTATCGTCGGCGTCGTCGAACGCGCGATCCGATCGGCGGGAAAAATACCATCTTCCTTCGGCCATCGTCCGTCAATGTCATCGTCGTTATCGCCATCATCATCGCCGTGGCCATCGCCATCGTCATCGCCATTGCCACAGCCATCGCCATCGTCGTTGTCGCATCGGTCGGTCGTCGGTCATCTTTGTCGCCATCGGTCGTCGGTCGGACGGCGGAGGTCCGCGCGGCGCCGGTGCGCTGGGCCGACCCTGCGCCTCGGGCCGACCCTGCCCGGGGAGGCTGAGACCCCCCAGACATGGAAGGAGGAGGCGGCGGAGGAGGCGGCGGAGGAGGAGAAGGAGAAGAAGGAGGAGGAGGAGAGGGAGAAGGATGAACAGAAACCCAAGCAAGACGAGGATGAGGAGAAGGAGGTGGAAGAGGGTGAGGAGGAGGAGGGCGAGGAGGACGAGGAAGAATAAGAAGACGATGAGGAGCAGAAGGAGGAGGAGCAGAGGAGTTGGGCGACTTCTCGACTCCTTCCCTGCCTGCCCCCGTCGGTCGGGGCCAGGACGACGAGCCCCCGTCGGGGCCAGGCAGCAGGGCAGGCCCAATGACTCCGAAGGCAGGCCCCGGGGCCCCGATGGCGGCCCGTCAGGGCCAGGGCGGCCCGGGGACCGCCATGCCTCCCCCCCCCTCGCTCTAATCCGCATCTTCCTTCTCCTCCTCGTCTCCTCCGCACTCGTCCCTTCTCCGCCCTGGCCCTCCGCCCCCGTCTCCTCCTCCTCTTCCTCCTTCTCCTTCTCCGCCTCCACCTCTTCTTCCTCCTCCTCATTACCCTCTTCCTCCTCCCACCAACCATCCATCATCTATCTCGGTTCGGTGACCCCGCGGGTCGTCGGGTGTGAGGGCCCCCGCGACATGATGGTAGGTTGGTAGGGCGGAAGGAGTGCGGGGGTCTCTCTCTCTCTCTCTCTCTCTCTCTCTCGTCTTAGCATCGGCATAGCATCGGCGTAGCGCATAGCATCGGCATGGGGTCAGGAGCTCCGGGGGGAAGTTACAGGATGAGCCAATTTCGCTTTCAGGAAAAGCTCTTGGGAGCAGGAGAAAATGAACGGGCATGAAACAGAAACCACGAGGAAAACAATCCATTAATGGGACGAGGTTATCTTACCCCCGCACTCCGCACGCCCTACCAAGCTACCAACCTCCTCCGCCTTCCCAGGATTTGCCGCGTGGACGCCAACGTCCTGAGCAGCGAGGTGCAGGCGATGGAGCCCATCGCTCGGCGCATGAGCGACACCGGGGGATCGGGGCCCCCCTTCGAAGCCTGGCGAGATGCTGTCAGGGCGACGCAGAAACCAGCGAGGAGCCGATCTATATATACAGTCGAGGCTCTGCGACCTGTCCTACAGACTTTCGGCGCCTACTCTGCGGTTTCTTCGGGTGTGGAGCAGTCTTTTTCGAGGTGCAAGAATCTTGCAGGTGTTAACAGGCCCGACCGTTTTTTCTGAGCCCGTCATGGACGAGATGCAGATCGTTGCTCCGAGCACTACTGACGCGGACGCGACGGCGCTCAGGATGGCCCGTAGGATATGGGATCGTATCTACGGCACGCCTCGATCCACGACACGAGCACAACGACTTGATGCTGGACGGGCGAAGACATCCACGCCGGCGCAGCAAGGCTCAGAGAAATCATGGCTGCGCAAGCGGCGCTCGGAGGTTGCAGCTGCCACGTCACGAACCTCGGCCTCTGCTGCAGCAGTGCCCGCTGCTTCGTCGCAAGTCGTGGGCGAGAACGGTTGGGCGCAATCTCATGCAGCCGAGGCTGAATTTCAAGAACGGAAGCGTGCCAGGCGCCTCGTAGACGCTGTGCGCGGCGGGGAGCTCAGCACGGATGCGCACCACCTCGACCAACTCGGCGCAGCTGGTATTGACGAGGCAAAGAAGCACATTGAGAATGCTGCCAAGCGCCGCAATGCCTACAAGAAGACGCAGGAACGTTATCAGGGCGAGTTGAACCGGCGACCGAGTTTCTCACAGAAGGTCGTGCACTGCAACGCCGAGATACCCCTGGCGACACGAGACAAAATCAACCACAACGCTCGGTCAAACGGGGCCAGTTCTACTACCGACCTGGGCAAGGCCGACATCTTCGTTGTTCCAACAGTGACCAGACCGCCGGAGGTAACCAAATTGGCAGCTCAGCTTGTCGGCGGCATTGTCTGCGACGATCTCTTTGCGACAACCTTGGGCATCTCGGGTGCGTCCGTGGCCTACAAACAGCAGAACAGCATCAACCGAGTGGTCTGGATATCTCCGCAGTTCCTGGATGCCCACATGAATGCAACAGCCGTTTTGATCGACATTATTGCAAGGCCTACGAGCAAGTGGAAACTCGTACCCCCTGATCAGTTGGTTGATTTCACAGCCCGCGCTGTCGGGCTACACGCCATGAAGAAATACACCACGGCGCTGGCTTTCGTGACGGCCCCCGAGCAGGGGATGGCAGCGCTCAGTTCTGTGAGATACAAGTTCACTTTGCAGGACGCAGTGGTTTTCTTCAATGATCTCGATGCGTCCCGCACGTTCTCCGGGGCGGCTGGGCAGTAATTTAATATGATGGTTGCCGAATGTGCTACGCACGCGGACGGATTGACGCACGTCGCCGACCCATTGTTGGCGACGTGGCCTGCATTATTATTGTGTATCTGATTTCTGTGGTCATTACTGTGGCCCGAGTGCTCTAGTTGTTTCTGTGGTGATTATTTATAGTGGCAACGTCGGCCACCTGATGTGCAGCGCGCCATCGGCGGCGCTCGAGGGGCAGTCGGCGCGATAGGCGACCGCCCATTCCATCCATCGCCACTCCCCCTCCTCCCTCCTCTTTCCTCCCCGCTTCCCCCTCCTCCCTCCTAGTCCCTCCTCCTTCCTCAGAGCCTCCCTCCTCCATCCCCGCTCCCCCATTCATCATCGCCCCTCAACATCCACCGCCTCCTCCTCCTCTTCTGTGCTCACTTCTGTCTGTCTGGCGGTCTGCGCCATTTCTCCTTGCTGACTGACTGGCGCGGTGATCGGGGCTCGCGCCTGTGCTGAGAACAACGCGTGCTCAGCGGAGACGATCTCTCCCTATTTGATTCTGGGTCTGGGGGCCCAGGTGTCACCAGGTCAAATTATTCATTGATTCCTTCACAGTAGTGGTAACACTACTTAGGGTTTTTTTTTCGTTCGGGCCCGAAAGACTTGGGTGGGTCGGCCGAGGTTTCGTCGTATACGTGAGCGCCCCCATGGCGCAACTTATGGCGCCAGTATTATGGCACGGCCTATGGTGGCGCGCAACCAATGGCGTAACCTATCCCCCAAATAATGATTATGGCGCAACTTCTGGCGCACCAACTTTGGCGGGTCGGCCGAAGTTTCACTGCGCGGGCGCCCCCATTGCTCAACTCATGGGCGCATCCTACGGCGCAATCTATGGCGCAACCTGTGGCGCACAAGCTTGCCCGCCGCTGGGTGAAAGAGGTGCGACTGCCACCGCTCACCACTCGACAGATCAGTCCGCCTAGCGAGAGGGCCCCAACCACCAGCAATTATCAGCTCCTCCTCTTCTTGCCTTTTGATTTTGAAGGGGGCCTTTTCTGATGCCCGTCAATGGCTATTCTGCGTTCCGACTGCGTGGTAATAATAACTGGCTGTTTGTTTGGGGCCCACGTCTGCAAGCGCATCGCCATGTCGTCGGAGGAGGTTATTAAGGCCAAACCGTTGATCTACGCGATACGCCTGTCAGAAAACAGGGGGCGTCTCTGGGTTGGCAGAGGAGGAGAAAGGAGGAGAAGGAGGAGAATGAGCGCCCATGGTTCAGGATGAGGTCCAGCAGCACTTACTGGAATCTCGATGCAGCAGCCATCGATCGAGGCGCGACGCGAACTTGCATATGTTAAGTCCTTAGCCTCGTCGAGCTTGGAGCCCAGGAGGCTGGCGAGCGAGAAATCGCGCGCGCTTTCTGGCTCGCCAGTCTGGAGCGCTCCGGACTGGCGAGCGGGCTGGCGCTGAGCGTAAGTAACTCTGGCGAGCGAGAAATCGCGCGCGCGATCTGGCTCGCCAGAGTTACTTACACTCTCCGGGTAGTGCTCTCGCCAGCCTGGAGCGCTCCGGATTGGCGAGCGAGAAATCGCGCGCGCTTTCTGGCTCGCCAGTCTCCTGCGTCTCAAACTCAGCGAGGCAGCGGACTTAAGACATGCAGGGTATGCAGATAGTTCATACATGACACCTGGCGCACCCTACCTAGGATGGACAGAGATGCGAAGCCTGCCAATCAAGCCGAACGATACCATCATAATGCTCCTCCCTCCTTCTTCGTTCTTCCCTCCATCCATTCATCCTCCACCCTCTTCGCTTACTCATCACTCCTCCCTCCTCCTCCTCCTCCTCCTCCTCCTCCTCCTCCTTCTTCTTCTTTCTCCTCCTCCTCCTCCTTCTCATCATCCGCCCTCCCTCCTTCCTTTCATCCTCCTTCTTCTGGCGCACCCGCCCCCCTCCCTCCCCCCGTAGTATTATCCTTCCTATCTCCTCTCCTCCTCCCTTCGAGGATGAGGGGCTGACCGAGATGGGGCCCGGCGACGCGACCATGTAATGTGACGCACATACAGTATAAATACATCACGTTTATAGCTGGTCCGCGCCTATACATAGCCATGAGGCTCAGACAGACAATCAACCCAAGATGTTTGGGTGTATGATGGATGATTATTTTTGCGTCTACTATGCCTTATTTCAAGACCGTGCGGCGGAAACCAGCCGCGTCCAAGCATGTCCCCCCCCAGAAAAAACGGCCCGATGGAGCACCATCTGCAATGCCTACGACACCTGTCATCCAACGACAGGTCCAGAAGCGCCGCCCCGCCCAGAATAAGATCCCGACTGTCATCATTCTGAATAAGGATATCTTCAACGCGACCCTCGCCCTCAATATAACCCCTATTCCGCGGGATTGGGCTGGTTTGATGATCAACTCAGAGAACCCGCTCATCATAGGGACGGACTGTGCTGGTCTTTGTTCGATCGAGCAAGGGCTTGAACGTAGTCGTTTGGCTCGCCATGTTGTTGCCGCTTTCGCCTCTGAGAAAGACGAGAAGACCCGATTTGTGCTCGCCAAGAACTTCGCGCCCGGGGCCCTGTTCGGGGACATCTGCGAGCGGAGTACCACGGACGTCCCCCAGGTGCACTTCTACAACGCGGGGTTCCCGTGCCAACCGTTCTCGGCTGAGGGGGGCGGAGGACGGGGGCTAACAACTTGGGACGCTAAAACCCATGAGATGTATGCCCTCCCTGTTGTTGTTCCCAACGGTCAACGTGGTCAAAATAGTTGGGGGCGTTCCCAGGGTTGAGATTCACGTATGCCCCCACCCTCCCGCCGCCTCATCCTCATAATCCAATTTACGTATCCTGCTCAACCCATTTCTTCTCCCTCCCACCTTGCAACCCCTCTGCTCATGATCGCCGTGCTCCTCCAGTCAGTCTCGTCCTCCTTCTCCTCGTCGCATCCTGCCCGCAACTCCCTCTCTCTGGCTCCTTCCTCCCCATCCTCCTTTCTCACTCGCCTCAACCCATCATCCCCCGCCTCTCTCCCCCTTGTCCTCATACTTCTACTCCCCCCTCTCCGTTCGTTCTCATCCCTCCCGCTGCGCTGATGGCGAACCTGAATCGAACCGACCGCCCCCCCGGGAGGCCTCTTCGCAGATAAGCACAATCGTGGAGACGCTTGTGCTGAAACCATAGAGTACATCCGACAACGGAAACCTATGTTGTTTATGTTGGAGAACGCGTCGGGTTTGGCTCGTTCGCACAAGCGCGACATGGATGCGATCATCGCGCTGATCAGTGACGTCAAGACCGCAAGCGGCCAGAGCGAGCACAAGATCCTACACGCAACCTTGGACACGAAGCTGCACGGTGGACTCCCTCAGTCCCGACCGAGAGTCTATGCTGGGGCGTTGCCCTCTGCCGCCAGACCCCCTCCCTGACGTTCTGGCTGGCTCATCGGTTGGTTCGTCCTTGGATTGTTGGCAAGTAAGTTTGATGCCAAATGGCTGGTTGGATGTTGGCTGGTTGGCATGGTTCCTGGTTGGGTGGCTGGCTTATCGGTCGGTCGGCTGGTTGGTTAATTAGCGGGCTGGTTGGCGGGTGGTCTGTCCGAAAGGTTCTTGCGTTGATGAATGAGAATGCCCGCTCAGGCACTCGCTCATGCGACCCCCTTTCAACCAACAAACTGGCTAGTGATGCTAATAATGTCACTGGCCCCTGGAGAGGGGATGGGCGGGAACCCCGCGACAGTGAAATGGCCTGACGCCTTTGGCGCTCAGCCAGCGGACATTATCGGCGCTCTCAAGAGCGCCATGAGACGTGATCTTACTTGGCCTAACCCGATTCCAATGCAGACCCTCGGCAGCATCCTCCTTGCCCGATCTGGCAACGATAAGTTGGCCCCTTGGCAGATTGGTAAGAGAGATGCCATGCTTGCCCACATCAACCAAACAGACCCCTATCAGCGTGATGTCTGGGTTGGTGATATTCAGAGCGACCGGGCATCTAGCAAGCCCATGTGTGGGATAGCCCCGTGCCTCACTCGCAATCGGGCTGGCGAGGCAGGGCATTGGGTGTTTAAGAAGTGCAGGTGGCTTCACTTAGAGGAGATCAAAATGCTCCAAGGCATGGAGCCTGGTCGCATCGACTGGACGGGCCTCTGCCCAGAGCGGGCCTATAGGCAAATGATCGGCAATGCTTATACTGTGACGGTGGCCACGCGCGTTGCCTTGCAGTTGCTTCGCTCAGTCGTGCATGTGAAGTGCCTGCCGCTCTTGGAGGACCCCTGGGCCTAGAATTGAATGCTCGTGCGGTCTGCGAAGCAGTGTATTATTGAAGAGCGCCGGTCGCTCCCATCATTCTTCCTCCCTTCTCTCTCCCTCTCGGCCCCCTCCATGCACGCCTCCTCGCCCCCTCCTCTGCTCCGCCCGCGCATCATCCCATGCATGTACTGTCTGGTTCTGCGCGCTAGTACAACGTGTGGAAATACGTTTGGCCCACGGCAACAAAAATGATCACATGGGGGATCAAAACCATCCACGCGCGCAAATCAATTTAGCATAGTGACGCCCTCACCCCCGGCGGCCAATCCCACAACCCTCCTTGCTAGATAGACGGGCTGCGCGCTCTCTGAGGACATGCCGGCAAACGTGGACCTCAAACAGTGAGTCATCTTATTCCGGCTTATCATGTGCACGCCGCATTCCAAAGCAAAAAGCGCACATGTAGCGAAACCTTGTCCGATCCGCCCAATCGGTTGCGCCATGAACGCCCGCGTGGCTACTCTTCGGCCGACCCACTCAATTAATTTGTTGCGCCACAGGTTGCACCTGAAGGGCGCTCGCATGGCGAAATCTGGGCCGACGCGCCCGGTTCCTTGGGGCCGAAACAAGATCTCTAATATGATCTCTAAGTGCAAGCACTGCTTGGGAGACTGTTCATATTGTCAGTCGGCACACATACTAGAACAATCCATACATACTGAGCCGCTTTGGCTTAAGATTGCACTGCCAGACTCATCTCAGCCAGCAGGGTCGGCTGGCTATCTGCGCCCACTCACTGCCACTGTTACTACTACTACGCGGACTAGCTGCGGAGACATCATGGCGCCCAAGAAGCAGCCCAAGGCCGCAGCGGAGAAGAAGGCGGCCCCTGAGGGGGAAGTTGTCGGCGAGTCGACCGGGTCGAACAACGTCGCCAGAGTCGGGAAGCTCGCGCCGCTCTCGAAGGAGGAGCTCGCTGTCAACGCCGAGATCTACGCGACTGTCAATGCGTCGCTGGAGCTCATCGAGAGTAACCCCGTCTTCTCAGGAATTAGAGACATGGCGCCCCTGTCATTGAAGGCCGCTGGGGACGACGACGCCAATGATGACGACCCAATGAACTGGGGCCAGATCGCGCCCTTCGACGCCGAGACTTTCACGGACACCTTCAAGACTACGGGGCGGGTCACCTGTGGCATCAATTTCTTCGCCATGGATGTTACGTACAGCGCTACACCAGGGATTCCGATTCGCAAGAAGGCGGTGTCATCCCTGACGGAGCACTACTATGATCAGCCTGCATTCTTCATGGGCTCCGTGACCATTGGCGTGGCCGAGGATAGCGACGACGTTCCGAGCTTGATGGCGTCGCATAGTCTGAAGTCCCCCTCCCCAGAAGAGAAGCGCTTCGCCTTCATCGAGGCGATCGCGCGGGACATTCGGGCTGGTAAGGACGACTTCGTGCTCAAGAGGTGGAGGCATTTAGGTTTCCGAAGTCACCTGGTCGTCGCCTCCCCACCCAGGGGGGCGTGCAACGCACGCGCACGCAACACCAACCATCCAAACATATCAGAGCAATGCCATACTATATAGTTGTTACGTCCGTGTGTGGATGTTCGGATGTAGATTTTAACGTTAATGCATATACATAAGTCAGCAGTGGAATCATACATCAAGCATTGCACGGTCTGCCAAGCTATTCTAAGATGAGTGTTCAGACGTTTGTTTGATGTTATCTCCCCGGTGGTTTCCCCCAGGCAGTGCGCTCTGTCAGTCAGCGCATGCTTCGTGGATCTGTCGACTGATGACGCCCTGCACTGGCAGGCAGTGCAAGAGAGAGAAGATTTCGGGACAGACTTCGAGGCGATGCGTCGCAGCGCCGTGCAGCGCCTCTACGAAATCGTGAACTACAAGAAACGCAAGGAGGACCTTTCGAAGAACACCCTCACCACGCTGCAGCTCCAGGAGGAGTACAAGAAGGTGAAGCTGGGATCGTACAGCGAGGAGATCTCCGACACGTTCATTGAGATGGCGCTCAAGGTCCACAAAACCTGTTTCGGCATTCAGTCGATCTCGAAGCTCCTGCTCATGTGCGATTCAGAATATGGCAGCCGCAACCCCTTTGACTACCTCACCAAGTTGGACAAAATCAGCCGGCGGGCCAAGGGTGACGAGCTTTCGTGGGTTTTCCATGCGCTCCATGATGCCTGGAAGTATGGTTTCATGACAGACAGCGGCCTGTCCCTGAGATCCATCGAAGGCAAGGGCACGCTAGCCGGCAAGAGCGTTGTTGACATCGCCATTTTCAAAAAGAAGCTGAGGGATCTGTTCATGGAGAAATTGGCCGATTTTCCCCAGTGGACGGAGGAGGTGAAAAGCAAATTCAGGGTCGTGTGCGCCGGCCACTTGCTCTTCCGCGAATTCAACGGGTGCCCAGACGAACGCGCTAACATCACCTGGAAGGCGGGGTGGCCGCCGAGCGCGGTGGAATACCTTGCCTTCATCGAGGATACCCTGGGGTCAAAAAAATGCTGGGTCAGTATCGTGTTGTGCGTTTTCGGGCTTCGCATGCTTTCGGGGCTTTCTGGGCTGATGTTCCAGAAACTTTCTGGATTGATGTTTCAGAGGTTTTCTGGATTGATGTTTCAGAGGGCTCTGGATAGATACTTTGATGTTGTCGCTAATAACTAATCAGTAGCTCGGAGATTGAGTCCACGTTGTCTGTGCACCACTAGCATCAGGTTTGTATTCCGCATTTCCCTTTTGTAAAGATTCGTCAATTTCTGAACGTGCTGTTTCTGAAGGGCGATCTGGTTCGGCACGATATTTCCCCAAGGTGATGCTGCTATATAGCAGGGGCAGGGTATAGATTAGTAGGCTGAACGCTGACTGGTAAAGTACTTAACTATTTGATTTACCTCGCCTGAAGGACGCCATATTCGGTTCAGCAACTATGAGTTGGCAACCCGCCGTCGCGCAGTGCGTCATGCACAGGAAGGGCGCTGGCGAGTTTTTCGAGCTCAGCAGCGTGGATGAGCACATGACACACATCAAGGAAATGGCGCATTTGGAGGTCGGGACGAAGCCGCCGGAGGAGAAACAGCCTGCCAACGAAGTGGAAGTGAAACCTGATGATGAGACCGGTGACACTACTTCGCTGACCAACCCGGAAAATATTCAGCTGGTCTCGCCGGGGAATCTCGTGATCGACGTGTCTGCCAAAAGTGCTGACGAGATGCAGAAGTTGAACCTCTTTCAAGAGGAAGGTCGCGGAGCTGGCGCGGTCCCACGTGGAGTTCGTCCCCGACATGACGAAGGAATGCGATCTCATCCAGGCGCTCAAGAACACGGAGGCTGGGAGGATCAAGGGCTCCAAGAAAGTCGAGAACCCTGCTCAGTCATCCTACGTTGCCATCGTATACGACTCGAAAGTGTCGGGCGAATGCTCCCATCGGCCCCATCTGAGGCAGGTCTACTTTCGCTCTGAACACTGCAAGCGATTGCTCAAGGTCGCGCTCAACCTGAAGGAGCCCGATGCGATCGCGGACGGCGACCTCTACATCCTGCCAGACGGTGGCAAACACGGTCACAGAGGGGTAACAATGCAAGATAGCGATGCAATGCATACATACGTGCACATGGGCACATGATACACGTATAAGTACACGTGCACAAGCACATGCATATGCATACACAAACGCATAGACAGAACCATTTGCACATACATGAGCGAACACATCTAGATCTACAGTACATATGCGTGCACATGTGTATATATATATATGTATACACTCACACCTACAAGTACATGTACATACAACTGTATACAAGCAATATCTAACACATATATGTTATATATCGACATATCGATACATACACATATATCCACACACCTGCATGTACAACTCGTATATATACACATATGTACGTCAATATACACATACAGCGGTACACACACATGCATGAAGTATTTGTCCTCTGACAGAGAATGATGAGGAAAAGGAATAGGAGGAGGAGGAGAAGGAGGAGGAGGAGGGTGCGGGTGGAGGAGGGGCTAGATCTCACGATCTGATAAGGGGAGTGAGGACTAGCAATTAGTCCGCCGTCCAGGTAACGAGATGGCGCTGCTGAGTGGTCTGTGCGACGCGAACCAGAAGGCCCTTCAGAAATGCAAGCAGGTGCTGTACGTGATGCACTCCGAGTCCAGCATCCGGGAGAGGCTCAAGATCTGCCGGAACACAGGCGGTGCTCTACAGGTGGAGTGGATGTTCCTCATCACCAGCAGCTCGCTGACGCTCCCAGACAAGCCGCGCATCCACTTCGAAGGAACATCCAACGGCGAGTTCGTGGGGCCCGTGGCATGGGCACCTTTCGACTCCTCCGACACGCGGTGCCTTCCCCAGGCCATCAAGAAGACTGTGATCACAAAAACCAACGTGGTTCTCGCAGGGGGCTCGACCTACGCCCCTGACACTACCACCGACGAGAAGAAGGAATCGGAGAAGGAGATCGCCTTCATTCGCTCCTTGAAGAAGGAGAGCGAGCCTGTTTTCTTTCACGCTACGCCGGCAAAGTTGTGGGAAGAGATCTTGCGCTGCCACAACGTCAAGGCGGTGGTGGACCTGACCCCTGCAGATGGGGCGAGGGCTCTGGCAGCCATCCGCGCCCGCATTCCTTACGTCGGGGTGGCCTTCAACACTGCCCATCGCGATCAGCTCTTGATGCACATCGACAACACCGCGCTGAAGATGTTCCAGGTCGAGGGCGACAAGCTTTACCAGCCAGCGTTCGCCGAGCTCTTGAAGGACAGCCCCGTCGAGGAAGCTGGAGCAGATGAGACGAACAAGAAGACCTCTGCTGGCAAGTGCAAGCGCGAGACAGCTCAGAATGGCCAGAAAGAAGATCCCAAGCAGGCTGCAGCTGGTGGCCAGTCCGGTGGGGGTTCCGATGACGCCAAGAAAGCGTTGCTCGCAAGGATCGCGTCCCTGTCCAAGGGCAAGGCCGACGCCGCGGCGGGCGGCTCCAAGGGCGGCAAGCGCCAGAAGAAGGAGGCGAACGCGGATGAGGAGATGGACGAGGATGGCATCGACGAGCTCGATGATGATATGGGTGAGGCTTGAGTTTTCAGTCCTGGCGTTGATTTTCGCCGTCAGCAGGGCGATACTGGGGACGACTGCCGCCGTCGTTGTTTCATGATGATCGGGCATTGGTTATGGTGGTTTTCACCAATGCAGAATGATCTGGTTTCACGATGGCGGCGGCTTTGCCCTGACGGCCTTTCGTTTCAAGGTGGCCAGGTCTGGCGGCAGAGCTAGCGCAATCAAGAATAGGAGGATGAGGAAGATGAGGACGTGGAGGAGAGGGGTAGAGGAGGACGAGGAGGATGAGGATGAGGAGGAGAACCTATGCTTGACATCCTGCCACTGCTACTCCAACTGATCACTCTCTCTTACTTATCCTTCTCGTCATCCTTCTGCTCCGCCGCGCCCGGTGCATCGGATGTTTGCGCAAGCTCGAGCTCGAATGCCGCCGCGCCCCAGAAGGGGCCGCCAGGCTGCGACCGCCAGGAGTAGATAGAGGGGGGGGCGGGCGGGGAGAGAAGGAGGAGTGGGGGGGTCATGGGAACGATCTGCGATACTCCTCAATTGTTTGGTGGCGTGACTCGCCCCTCCTCGGTCGTCCTCCTCCTCCTCTTCGTCCTCGTCGACCTCCTCCTACTCCTCCTGCCTACTTACTCCTTCCTCCTCGTCTCCTCCTCTACTCCACTATCCACCTCGCTCCTCCTCCTCCTCCGACCACTTAGTCGCGACTCTACTCCTGCGACCCCGGCTCGATGCCGCGCCCGCCAGCGAGTTCCATTGCGAAGAAAGCAGAGTAGATCTGAATGAGTGCTTGCAATCTGTGTTTCAATGTACGCTCGGGTACCCATCATCACCGATGCATCGGCGCAGCTTGCTTGGCTCGGGCATCTGGTGACACACATCACCTCTTACTATACGCTGTGCAAACATAATGTCAACCATTAACATCATTCGCATTTGGGCCCCTTATACACAAATGTAGGGTATGCGAGTACGTGGACGAAGTGTACTTAAAAATCCCCGAGGGTGAGGCTGGCAGTTTTACGAGCTCCGACACGTTGGAAACGACGGCGGACCCTGATCGTCGTGAAGATCAGCACGGCCAACGTGCGCCGAAATGGTATGAATCTTGGATGTGTCGCCACTGCGGCGAAGTGTACACGGGCGGCCGGGACCATTGCAAGCCGCGCTGCGCCCTGCCCAGTGGAACGATCGTAGAGGGCCCCACGGAGAACAAATCTCGTTATCCTTCCACCCGGGGGCCCCCCAAGAAGAGAATGCTTAGGGCGATGATGATGAAGAAGAGGAAAAAGGCGCATGAGGACGACGATGAGGAGGAGGAGGAGGAGGAGGACGACGACGAAGAGGAGGAAGATGAGAATGACGAGGGGGAGGAAGAAGAGGACATGAGGAACGAGATCACACGTTTCAAACATCCCTAGAACATCCGTAACGAACCATTGATGTACTTCGTGGATGGCTTCTGGGTGGAGGACGCACCGCTGGTGGCCAAGCGAGCGAGGGCGAGCGAGGCACCACCTTCACCCCTGGCTGGCGGGCACAGGCTCATCACGCCCCTTTCGCCTCCAAGTCCCCCTCGTCTTCCTTCTTCCTCCATCCTCACCCTCCTCCGTGCCTTCGTCGTCGCCCTTACTTTATCGTCGTCGTGCTCTGCTTCTTCCTCTTCTCCCTCCTCGCGCTCCCGAGGGCAGCGAAAAAGACGAAGCTCATTCCATCTTACGACGGGCAACACTTGATTTCAGCGTCGGAATCATCAAATGATGCGCAGCCCACTGATCCCGGCCCGCACGGAGCGACTGGCCAGCCAGAGCCCGTAGTAGAGGTGACATATAGCTTAGTTCATGATTGATTCCGTGCCTCTGCCCGGGGAAGAATGAGTTGCCGTCGTCGTGCGCAGCGGAAAACATTATTTTTTGCGCTCGCCCCCCGCCAGGAGGGGGGGGGGGGAACAAAAAAGGAGGATGAGGATGGGGGGGGAGGAGGAGGAGGAGGAGGAGGAGGAGGAGGAGGAGGAGGAGGAGGACCAGGACGCGGAGCTCTCCTGGAGCGCACTCTGACCAGGATGCGGAGGAAGAGGAGGAGGGGGATGAGGAGGAGGAGGAGGAGAAGGACGCCCACGCATCATCATCGGCACCAGGGCCTTTCCTGGAGCGCCGTCTGACCAGGATGTCGGGGCGAATCCAGCCTTGGAGCGGCGAATCCAGCCTTGGCGAAGAGGTGGGCTCAAGTGGCCACGCAGAGAAATGCAAATGACATTCGAGTCCTGGCGCACACGCGTCGCGCGCGCGTCCCCTCCGCCCGCCCAGCTGGAACGTCGTGCATTGCATTGCGCCGCTTTGAATATATATGTGGTTCACCTGTTACGTTGCTTGACGTTGCACTGCGTTTGGGAAGCTGGATTTTGGCTTGCGCGCGTTGACTCGCATTGTTTTACGTTTGCATGCGACTCGTGCATTGTATTGTCGCATGGTGCCTGAGCTCGGAAACAAAAAAAAACTGCAATCGGAAAACATAACATGAAGATACGTGTAATCCGTAGCCGTTTTGGCTCAAGGGAAATTCATAAATTCAAAGTTCATGTTTGGCCTTTGTTGGTAGCATGGCGCGCTGGGGTTGCCCCGCAGAGCTGGCGCAGGACCTCGCGCAGGGGCCTCCGAGCCCGCCGCTGCGCGATGAGCTGCTCAGGGCACTGTTCGCGGACGTGAATGCTGACGGCGGCGACGCGGTTCGGCGTCGGCGGCGCCGTGGCTCAGCATCGGCGGCTGGGATCGGCTGCGACGCCGTGGCTCGGCATCGGCATGGTACCGATGACGATGGACACAGCGGCTCGGCGTCGGCTGCGGCGCCTCGGCGGCTCGGAATCATCAGCAGCGCCACTGCAGCAGCGGGGGCGCCGAGGCTTGGAATCGGCGGCGACGATGGGCACTGCAGCTCGGCATCATCCTCGGCGGCGGCGCCGCGGTTCGGAATCGGCGGCACTGGTGAGCACTGCATCTCGGCATTAGCAACAACGGCGGGGCCACAGCTCAGAATCGGGGGCAATCATGATGGTGCTGATGGTGATGATGCTGGGCACCGCAGCCGGGCATCGGCGGCAAGGCCACGGCCGGTGGCATCACCATCGGCGGCGGCGGCGCCGGGGCTCGGAATCGGCGGCGCCGATGATGAGCACCGCTGCTTTCGAAGCAGAAGTCGGAGCAGAGACGCGAGCAGCAGGAGGGCGGCGGCGACGGCGGGGGCGGAGCCCAGCAGCAATGGCTATGATGGGCTGGCGCGTGTCGCGCGCTGGGCGCCGCCGCCGTCGCCGGTTGAGCGCCGTCGCATTCTTCTGGAGTCGGCGCGAGAAGATGCGACGAACGTCATGGCGCGTGCCATCGCGCGCCATCCGGGGCGCATCCAGGCGCAACAGCCTCTGTTGGACTTGTCGCAAGGCGACCTGCTGCAACGGGTCATCGACCTCCTGCCGCCACGACGTGGGGGGGGAGAAGGTGGAGCGGCATACGTCGGCTCCACCTCCGACCCCGCGTGGCGGTGGGAGGGTGGCTGGTGCTGGCGGTGCGAGCGCAGCGTGGCTCACCCTCGCTTGATGCCAACGCGCATGATTGGCCACGGCCAGCGTGGATATCGGAGGATGGTGGTAGTTGGTTCTTTTTCAGACGCAGAGACGGCGAGCATGGAAGCCGCCGTGTTGCGACGCCTGCAATGCTCGGGAAGGGAGATGAATACCGATGACGCGCCGCCACGGGGAAACCCATCGACACGTTACTACTCATTGGTGAGTTGTCCCTGGGCGCTGATGAAGCGCCTTTCGGCAGCAACGTGTTGATGAGGTCCCCGCGGCGGCGCGACATCATGCATTCATGTTCCCTCCCGAAAAGCAAGCTTGCGAACGTAGCCATAGACGCACGCGGCCTTGCCATCAGACCGCTTCTTGCATACAGCTTTCTCTATGTGTGCATTCCATGACGATGAGGTTTCATTTCGGCTTACGCCGCCATTCCGCTGGCCCCATACGGTGAGCTACGATATGATGTGCCATGCTAAATTACGTTACTTTGATATAAGAATGCATTGCGTTGCTGTGTTACGTACGACGCATTCTATGTCATGAAATGCTGTGCGATGGTGTGGTAGCACGGCGCGTCTGCTATGCGATGCTATGTTGTGGCTGTTACATACTATGGTGTGATATGTTATGACATGCTACAATGTGCTATGATATGAGCGTATGCATCGCTATGATGTGTTACGTATGCCGTGCCATGATAGCCGATGCGTGCATGCGGTGATATGTGTTGTTTGCGGCGTTATGATATGACATGCTATGTGACGATCTACATTATTTCATGATATTATGTGATTGTTGTGCTATGCTATGATTTGGTATGCAGTTGGCAACATGCAACGCACTGCAACGCGATGCCATGCAATGTCGTACAAATGTACACACTCGGCAAGAGCGCGCGTTTATCCATGAAGAATTCACCCTCGATTCTTGTGCTGGCCCCTGTGCCCGTTAGACTTGACGATGCGGCCTGGCCTGTAACTGCGCGCGGCCGCCACGCAACCCCAAACGCATGTTCCGCATGAGCTAAGGCCAGCCCAGAATCGCCCGGGGGGGTCTCCGCCACTCAGTGCCTGCACGAGTCGCCCGGGGTGGTCTCGCGCGGGAACAGCCCTCGCGCATCGCCCAAGGGGGCCCCACGGGGGCGAGGTAGCCCGGGGGGGCGCCTGGGAGGACAGCGCACGGCGCGAATGGTTCCCGCAAATCTTTCGCGGGACTCTCGCGAATTCGTCGCGGGGGGCCAGGGCTCTCGCGAATTTTTAGAGGGAGGCGCAACGGCCTGGACAGTCGCGCAGGGGGGGTGGGGGCGAAGAAGAGAGGAGGGGAAGTCCGATGCCAAAGCCTCGAGGGCCACCTCCGGAGCCAAGCGAATGACGGACAATTGGAGCAGGGAGCGGCCAAGGATAGAGAAGGGGGGCGAAGGATAAGAGCCGGAGGGGGGCGCGAGCGGCGC